GAAAATACGGACAATTTTTAGCAATTGGTCCAAATTTGTATAATAGGTTATCTAAACGTTTAAATATAAAAAAACTTAATTTAAAAATTTAATTTCGTTAAAAATTAATACGAATAGGAAATAAATCATTGATAAATCGTAATATTTTACCTACGTATTATTTCGACTAAACTGCACTAATTTAAATTAAATCAATTAGGTAATTAATTTACAAAATTTTTAATTTTAATTGGAAATGGTTTTGTCTACAAATTGTACAAATATACATCTTAAATCCCTTGGGGTTATGAATTAAAAAAAAAGTACAAGCAAGTACTACTTGACAACCGGTCTTAGTATTAGATATTTTCTTTCATAGGTATTTTATCCTAAAATTTAAATTTAATTATTTAATTATTATAGGTATATATATATATTTTTTTTTTCTTTAGCCTGGCACTCGAATCTACGAAGGCGTAGAAGGGACACAGCACAAAAAAAATAATTAATTTTAAAATTTCGAGTTAAAAGTCGAAATTTTACCCTAAAATTTCGAGTTATAACACGAAATTTTAAAATTTCGAGTTATAACTCGAAAATTTACCCTAAAATTTCGACTTATAACACGAAATTTTAAAATTTCGAGTTATAACTCGAAATTTTAGGTTACAATTTCGACTTGTATCTCGAAATTTTAAAATTTCGAGTTATATCACGAAATTTTAAAATTTCGACTTATAACACGAAATTTTAAAATTTCGAGTTATAACTCGAAATTTTAGGTTACAATTTCGACTTGTATCTCGAAATTTTAAAATTTCGAGTTATATCTCGAAATTTTAAAATACAGTCGAAATTTTAACCTAAAATTTCGAGTTATAACTCGAAATTTTAAAATTTCGTGTTATAAGTCAAAATTTTAGGGTAAATTTTCGAGTTATAACTCGAAATTTTAAAATTTCGTGTTATAACTCGAAATTTTAGGGTAAAATTTCGACTTATAACTCGAAATTTTAAAATTAATTATTTTTTTTGTGCTGTGTCCCTTCTACGCCTTCGTACGAATCAGTTAACTAATTGCTTTCCAGTCCTTTTTGCAAGAAATTGTATACATATTAATAATGTAAAATAATGTAGGTACACCTTCTATTATTATTATTATATTGAAAATTATTTAAATAAATGTCGTGTAATTTTTACTGATAAAAAAATACGGAAAATTTCTAGCCTTGGTCCAAATGATGATAAACGTTTAAATATAAAAAAACTTCCTTTAAAAATTTAATTTCGTTAAAAATTAATACTTACGAATAGGAAATAAATCATTGATAAATCATAATCTTTTACGTATTATTTACGACTAAACTGCACTTTCCGATATAATTTTTAAAACGAGGTTAATTGATAACATTACCAATAATTACGATTAGCATTTATACAATAAAATAAAAATAAATTAAAACGATGTTTGAATCGTCGAGCAGAAAAGATAGAGCATAAATATAATTTGTACAGCTCTAATATAAAATTGATAACGAATGTAAAATAAATATCAAATGTTTGTTTACGGCGAAAAAGGTTAAACAAAAACCTAAAAATACACGGCTGTGTATGTTTACTTAACCGCCTCACCTAAGTTTACTCTGATTAGATTATAGTAAGAGAGGAACAAAAGAACAAGAAAAAACGAGATGATTTAATTATTAATTTATTTTTAGTTTTACCTTATCGAATCGTTATTTATGCTTGGCATTTTTTTAACAAGGTCAAAGCAGAGTCTAAAAATTAACATATTAATTAATGTGGGTACACATTAACATGGTTAAAAGCATTGCAGTAAAAATGTTTTCATAAACAACTTTGTTTTAGGTTTTTATTTATTTTTTCGGAAGAAAATATTTCCTTTGTCCATTTTGAATGTTTTATAACGTAAGAAATGTAAATTAAACAGTTTTAATAAATTCTTTAAAATATAAATACTTGTTTACAAATGTACCTAATTAAACCACGATTAAATTTAACATGCACGGGGTACAACTTAGATCGCATAAAAAATTGATTTTAACTTAATCGATTAGTTCTTTTTACAACAATCAAACGCATCTTGTTGGCTTCAAAAAACGCATACAATATTTTTTAACGCGTGTGCATTTCTAGGAAGTGTCTGCCGTCAGGACTGGTTTCAGACGTGGCACCGCTTACGCCGAATTCAATGGCAAAACAATTGCACATACGCTGCGCGACATAAACTTAGTTTTTATGATTTATTGTTTTTTAGTAGAAAGATGTTTTATAAGGTTAAGTCAAAAAGTAGGTTTTCATGTTTTAGAGCAGTACCTACATTTTTGTTGGCATTTTTTTTATATAAAGTTGTTTAACCTCCTAGTCTGTAAAAACCCATTTGGACCAATCAAAAAATTCAACTAGATATACTTAACTTCTCTTTGTACTTTGTACTTTGGTACTAATCAGGTATTATTATAATTGCAGTCATAAAAAACTGTCAGAATATTTTCCGATTGCAATTCCGAAAAAATGGGCAAATCTTATCAAAAAAAGAATAATTTGAAAAATTACCTAACCTCAAGTTCAAAGACCCTTTTGGATCTCACAACGCAGAAAATTAAAGAATGCGCTGGTCTGCAAAGCACGCATCACACAGCAAAAGTTACTAGGTAACCAGAATCTAGTTTGGGCTACCGTACCTACGTGAAATGATATTATTTTCTGTAATAATTTTAGTCATTTTAAATTAATATTGTTAATGCTTTATCTAAAAATTACCAGAATATTTGTCAATGAACTGGCAAAATATTTAAAGGTGGTGTAAACGGGTAAGTAGTATTAATTAAATGTGTTAAAAATACTAACAATAAAATGAAAAAATATCCAGACAAAAGTTAAGTAAGTAGGTATTTAACGTTTATCAAAAGTTTTAATTTAAAACTAAGCCAAGTTGTTTTTTTTTCAAAAAAACGTAGGTAGAAGATAAATAAATTAAATGATACATTTAAGATGGTAATATTGCTGCGAGTTTTGAACTTTGCAAAGTTGGTGCACCTGTGTGCCGCAACTGTTTAAAACTTTCGTCAATTGTTTAATGTCGTTTCCACTAATAATGTATAAAACAAAATAAACATCATCGCGCTGCTGTACTCGGAATTATCTAATTTATTTGATTCCGACTGAACTTTACTCGACTGGGTAGGTAACCGTAAAATAAAAAAGTTTTAACGTGCTTACTTAACTAATTTAATTACACAAATTGTGCATCTGTTTTTGGTTAAATGATTATTTAAAACAATTAAATTTTGAAAACGAATTAACTTTTAGCACATACCTAACATATCCAATAATAAAATCATCAAATTGATCCGGTATAACAAAAAATGCTTAATAAATGTAATGTAAAAGTTTGCAATTATTTTTGCATCTGTTGAAACGCGTGCCAAATTAAAATAAATAATTTAATTTTATTGGAAAGTTTCTCGAATAACGGAATTAAAATTATAAATTTAGTTTGATCGCAGTAAATTTAAGGAAAAAGTTTTTAAACCTCTAATAATAAAAAGCAATTTTCTTAATCAATTTAAATTGACCTATAAACCAGAATAAAGAATGCTTCAGTCCCATAATAAGAATTTATGCTTGCTGAAACAGCAAAAATTTGCGCAACACCATGCAAAAAATATGCAATGTAGCGCTTGATATTTACAAACAGAAAAAATGGCATCACATCTTATTAATCGTGCAACAAAGTAAATAAATCATAACATAACTTGTAAATTTATTATTTCTAAAAAAAAATAATTTTTCAAATGTGATTTTTTTTAGTTGTGGTAAAATTTATGTAGGTAGGTAAGTAGCTTTAAAACAAATAAAATAAAAATGATTTAAAATGCAAAACTATGTTTAGAGTTGGGTACCTACACCCACCTATAAAAATAGCTACAATTTTCTCTCATGATTAAAAATACAGCATAGCAAACAATAAACTTGATCATAAATATGTAGGTACCTATATATAAGTATTTGTATTCTGAATTTTTTATTTATATAAATTTAAAGCACAATAATTTATCAGACACGCTAATTATATAATTATATAAAAATTGTGTCGCGACTTTTTGCGAGAAATTTTAATCTTAACAATCGACTTTATGGAAAAACAATCAAGGTCAAATCACGCAAACTCTCGTCGATGTTTTAATTTATGTTTAGCGCTGCTTATCTACAAAGTAAATGTAAATTTACAGTTAAAAGCGAGGCTTGAATAAAAAAAAGTACAAGCTCGTTGTGTACAGCCAACGTAGTTGGTAAACTTTCATTTGGCTTTCATGCGTTCATTCTGAGAGAGACGATATGACGGGCCAATATTACTTGTTCGTAAAATGCGGGTCATTGCCAGCCACAGGCAAACACACTCTATGCAGAAATTTCTACTGAAATTCGACGCTTTTTAAATAAATTAAAAAGAAGGATACATAAACTTTAAACTTTGGACTAAGTACCATATTTATACATAATTTTAATAAATTAATTGGCAATGTTTTTAAAAATTAGTAACAAAAAGTGTTCTATACAAAAGTATAAGAAAAATTGCTTTGCCAGTTTAAAAAAAAGTTGGCCGACTAGGATAGATTTAATTTGTGAATGACTTACATAGAACTTACATAAAAACAAACACAGCAAAGTAACAAAAAAACTTTTGTGCATATCTAGGTACCTACCTATTTAAATTTAAAAAAAATGCCCATGTTATTGTTCTTAATAAAGTATACCTATATGTTAAAAATAAGGTGTAGCGTTTGTTAGGCCGGTAATTTAACGTAGGATTAGTCGTTAAACCCGGCAAAATAACAAACAGGATTGGCATTTCTAATGAGACGATAACCATTACGGTTTGCCCGCTATTTTATAGTATGCCGATTTATAAAAGTACACAATGTAGGCCCGTTTGCCAAATAAGTACGAATGCTTAAATGGATTTGCAATATTAAATGCACACCTAAGATGCTTACCTTATAACTAAACGGTGACAGAAACAAAGGAGAAGCGGTAGCAGCCACGCTGCTATGATCCAAGTCTGGCAAGCTTTCTTATTCCAAAAACACACACACACGGCCACTTTTTTATATTCATACAGCACTAGAACGATTTTAAATCCAAAATATTCACCACTGTTTTATTAAATTTACTAATATTAGGCCACTACAATAAAATCTTGTCTCCTGTGCTTACTATATCCCCACTTTTGTACACCAAAATGGCGGTGGCGCACTGTAATAATTCCGTTGCTTCGCCGTCGCTGCTTCGCCTAGTTCCCCTCCGCCGCGATAAAAGTTCCCAAACTGTTGACAAAGTACGCGTGTAGAATGCAGCACTTTAACTATAAATGCAATAACCACGCCTCTTCCTATACGAAATTTTATAACTTTCTTTGCTATTTATTTTTATCTAATTGTCGTATTGTGTATTGTCAAATAATTCATTCATTTACCATAGTAACTCTTTTAATTAGTTAAAATAATCCGCACTACGCACTCCTCATCTTATAAAAATCTTAAAAACCACTTTAATAATTTAAATTTATCCAATAAATGCCAATCGAATTGCATTAAAAAGTTCACAACATAAAAACCAACATTCCCCTTTGATTTTAAATACAAAAACACCAAATCTACCGCAAAATTACCTTTTAAAACCATGCATAAAATTAAAATTCAAACTTTCAACACCATCGCGCCATCTATGGGAACATTTTGTTTACATTCTAGTAATTTTATGTTGGCAGCAACCAGAGACTATAGTCTCTGAGAGCGACGTTAAACTTCCCGCCATTTTAGCGGTGTTAAATGTAAAGCCGGGTCTACAATTGTCGCAGAACGCAGATCGCAGAACGTAAGCATGCGCAAAGCACCCATCCACGTTGCGATGAAGCAAGGTCACACGTCGTTGTTATGTGAGCTGTCTACAATTGTCGCGCGATGTGCTTTTATTGACCAATCAGAGCAATTGTTTTCTTTATAACCACAGTGTGGCCAACGTAGAAGTGTTTCCCCTAAATTTAGTGAAAAAAAAACAGAGATATGGATGGATCCCTATCTCTAAAAAACTGCTTGGGGTTTATTTTTAGGTAAAAAATGTTTAAGAGTTTATATATAATTATATTTGTATATTATATATATATATATAATATAAATGAAAAAATGCAATTTTTTAGGGAATAAAAAGTAAAGTGTTGGTGACACTGGGTTGAGTATTTCACACCAACCTGTGTTTCACATATATCAACAGTTTTTATTTTTATGTCCAATATTGGATTGGAAAAATTGTTTAGATTATCATAGAATTAGTTAATATTATTTAAAATTTTAAATAATTATTTTGATCAAAATTTGAAAATTCTAAATGATTTTCGATGTTTCCTAAAAACTACCTATTTAAATCAATATAGGTATGAATATTCAATAGTAATAAGAATATACATACCTACATTTATTTAAATGGTCTTTAGAAAATATTGAAAATTATTTTAAATTTGGACAATTACGTTTTTGGAATAATTTCTGAGAATTACACCAAAAATTTAAAAATAACCGCGAAATAGGAAAAGGAACTAAATAAAAGTATTGATTATTGAAAGAAAGAGAGCACAGAGACAGATAGATTCTAGCGCTCTATGATTGGCTAACATAAAAGCCTGCGAAAGACGTTATTGAAGATGAATTAACTTTCTGCGACGTGTGACCTTGCTCCATCGCAACGTCGCTGGGTGCTTTGCGCATGCTTACGTTCTGCGATCTGCGTTCTGCGACAATTGTAGACCCGGCTTAAGGTTGACTTTTTATTTGTTTTTTAAATTCTTTTGCAATTTTTTAAAATGTCCATGACACACGAACCCTTGCGTTATGCCCACGACGAAGGCCACACCGATGTTTGCTATTCAGAGGATGGAAAGTAAGTATTTTATAAAATGTGTTAAATTAATAATAATAATAAATTTATAATGTTATTATATATACAAGGTTTACATTAAAGCAAATAATAAGCCACAAAACCAATATATAAAAATATATGACTTTACCTTGTGATCACAATAGAAATCTTGAAAGTATGTGAAATAAGAAACAACTAAATCAAAAACAATACAACTTACAAATACTTAAATTTTAGAAAATTTATAACTTGTGGTTCCGATGGGGATATACGTATATGGTCAACTGAAGAGAGTGAAGATCCAGTTCACAATTGCATTGGCGAATGGGCTCTTTGTGTAAGACAGAAAGGAAACAAACTATATGTTGCCACAGGTAGTAATGACATTCAAATCCTTACATTACCTGATGGAGATCGTGATGGAGTTTTGGATAGATTTACAGCCCCTATTAACCATATTGCCATATCCAAAAATGGAAAAGTGGGTATTATGTAGTTAAAATACAAAGAAAATTAAATACAACATTTATTTTTAGTATATTGCATTGGCAGCTGAAGAAATGGAAGTCAAATTGATAAATATGGAACGGGAAAACAAAGAGGTCTTAGTTTTGGATGGTTTAATGGGGCCTTGTTTTAGTGTGGCCATTTCACCTGATTGTAAATATGTGGCGGCCAGTTCAGGGGATGGCAAATTAAGAATTTGGGAAATCCAAACACAAAATTTAGTTAAAGATATTGAATGTTTTCCTAAAGTCAACAGTTTTGCTAATGCAAAAATTTTATGTAAGTTAAAATTTAATTTTTTTTTTGTTAGTTAAATATTTGAAAACCCAATGATATTATGGACATTTCAAATAAAATACCCCTTATTAATCTGTTTTTTATTAATTTTCAACAACAAAATTTATCAAATTTGTAAAATAATATTTATGTTTTTAACTTTCATCAGTACAATTTTTAATTTAAAAAAATTACATTTATTAAATAATATTTATATGACAATATTTAAAAAACCCTAATAGGTTGAATGGTCCAAAATTGCAGATTTTTTCTAAATACAAATTTTATTAAGTATCTAAATATTTTGGAATTTAGAAATTATAACAAGTAATATTAAAAAAAGCACATTTTATATCTGGTCAGATATAAATATTATCAAATGGGGCATTTTACGGCGTGAAATTCACGCCAAATCGACCACTTTTGAACCCTGACCCCTTTTAATTTGTCCAAAATTTTATACTACCCCACTAAAAACGTTTCTGTGAATTTTTTTCAATTTTCATTATCCAACCAAACGTTTTTTATAAATGGGGCTTTTGTATTATTAATTTTTTAAAAGTAGTAGTTTTCACACTTGCTTTTTAGAAAAAATACAAAAAAAACATTATTTTTTCGCCTTTAAAAAAACTTTGTTTTTAGGATAGCTACAACAAATATAAATAAATAAAAAAAAGTTTGAAAAATCTATATTATATAATATCCTTGCATTCAAAAAACACATATGAAATTTTTTGAATATGACTGAATATTTTTTTGTATATTTTTCTAAAAAGCAATTTTAAAAACGAACCCTTTGAAAAAAGTCTCAATTAATCAGTTTTTGAAATTTTTTTTTATTGTTTTTTCAAAATGAATCGTAAACCCGGGTGGCTTTGAGTCTTGAGTTGCTCTTTTATAATAACTATGTTATAATACTAAGTAGGGCTGAGTTTCAAAAATAAAAATTAAAAACTGGGTGTGCAAAGTTACCCCCTGGTTGCAGGTGACTTTGTCTCACAGTGTATTTTCCGTAAAAAATTAACTCAATATCTTATTTTATTTTTATTAGACACATGTTATCTGCGACATATAGCAATTGCACGGGATTACCGATAAAAAAATAAAAAATTGACCTATAGTTAACCAAGGATCATCATTCCAAAGGAGTTCTGCATGCACTGATGCAGTATAAAAAATTTTAAATTGTAATAAATCCCATTTATTTCTTTAAAACACTGATTTTTCTGTAATATAAACTCAATAAAATCGCTCAATTGACAGGTTTAGATCAACAAGTTATAAATGTTAATTTTATCGAGCGCGAAAAGATTTTTCATAAAAGGGTTAAAGTCACCCGTGTTTACGGTATTAGTAATTTGCAAGTTAATTTTTAATAAGGAATATGTGGAAATTAATATTGGAAATAAGAAGAATGGAAGAATTTCTGAGAAATCAAAATTTAAAGAGGTATCAGTTGGGTCAGAATTTCTCAAACGGGCCACCTGAATTAGGTCAAAATTAGTTTTTGTTTGTAGATACATTTTTTTGATAGTATTTTACATCACTAACACAAATCCTAAAGGATTTTGTAAAAAAAAAAATTTTCAATTGACATATTCATGATATTAAAAGTCAAAGTTTTTAATAATAAAAAAATAAAAAAATTCATTATGGCTGAACTAATTATCCGATTCCAACGATATAACTAGCGTTGGAATCTTGTTTTGACATAGATTCTTTGTTATTTTTTTCAATTGTCCTATTTTCATTTAGGTCGATTTTTTTTTGTTTTTTTTATACCAAATTCGGAAATAATTGCCTTCTGCGCCAGCTATCGACTCGAGAAAAAAAATACATATACTCCAATCATTTCTCGAAATTATGCTGCTGAGAAAAAAAATGGCCCGCAGGTTGACAAAAAGTTATTCGTCCTTTTGTGGCCGCGCGCGGTGTCAGCTCACGCTCCGAACCGTGTACGCTGTACGCGCTTGTGACGCGACGTCTTACGGTGGTCTGGAACCTGCGGGCCATTTTTTTTCTCAGCAGCATAATTTCGAAAAATGATTGGAGTATATGTGTTTTTTTTTTCGAGTCGATAGCTAGCGCAGAAGCCAATTATTTCCGAATTTGTTATAAAAAAAACAAAAAAAAATCGACCTAAATGAAAATTTTACAATTGAAAAAAATAACAAAGAATCTGTGTCAAAACAAGATTCCAACGCTAGTTAAATCGTTGGAATCGGATAATTAGTTTAGCCATAATGATTTTTTTTTATTTTTTAATTACTAAAAACTTTTACTTTTAATATCATGAATATGTCAATTGAAATTTTTTTTTTTACAAAATCCTTTAGGATTTGTGTTAGTGATGTAAAATACTATCGAAAAAATGTATCTACAATCAAAAACTAATTTTGACCTAATTCAGGTGGCCCGTTTGAGAAATTCTGACCCAGTTACTATTTTGCTACACAAAATTTTTTAATTCATACACTTTGGTTTTAAAATCATCTTAAATAAAAGGCTGTATAAATTATTATAAGCATAAAAAATCCCTAATTAAAATAAAAAATTTTATTTTTTAAATCATTGTAGGTAGGATGGATTTTGAGCCAACAAAAGGCAAACATCTTGCATACCCTGATGAAACTACAATTGTAGTTGTTGATACCAAAGATTTTTCTCAAGTTGCTACTTTATCATGTGATGAAGTAAACTCGTCCTATTCTTTGGTTCAGTATTCTCCTTGTGGAAAGTTTTTATTAGCCACCACTGAGGAAGGTGACTTTGTTTTATTTGAAGTGGAAACTGAGATTGTCTCTAATATAAGCAAACATCCAAAATCTATTGCTATCAGTGGTATCATGTGGAATCCAAATGGTAAGATGATTTATTACTAAAAAGTTATTGATTTATTTATGTTTACTCATTAAAAAAACTCATAAATATTATTTTAGGTAATGGTCAGGTAGTTTACACAGACGTTGAAGGCCAATTAGGTATAATTTCCGATTGTATTAACGAAAACACAAACAAAGACCCAGAAAATGAAAAAGTGGATGACTTTGGTGATAATGAGGTCGATTTTGGTGATGTCCAATTCGAGGATGACGATGACGATAATGAAAATGCCATATCAGTTGAAAAACTTAAAAAAGAAGTAATGGGGGAGTTGGAACCTGAACTGCAAAACCTAAATGAGGATTCCTCTCATGCTCCTTCACTCAGAGCTAGGACCCCTGAGGTACCCCTTCAAGGAGCCTTTATGCCATCTTCAACACCAGATCACTTGGATCCCAGATATTTATGTTGGAATCATGTGGGTGTTATAAGAAGTTATGGACTAAACTCAAATGATGAAAGTGCCTCTAAATCTATAGAGGTTGAGTTTCATGATACTACCTTTCATAGCAGCATGATGATGCAGAATTATCAAGAATACACTATGGGGTCTTTAAGTACTGGAGCATTGGCTGTAGCAAACTCTAGGTAAGAATGAAATATGCCCAAAAGGTTTTTATGCTAAAATCCGAATAAATTGCCAGTTCAATTTTTATTTTTATACTTTAAATAAAATTATTTTATAGTCAAGATAAACTAACTTGCCTTTTTTTTATTAGCTTGGCTACAATCACAATTAACGCGTTTGTATGATTTTTATCTCATTTAATTTTAAAATTTCATAGCAGCCATACAAAACTTATATATTTTTCAATTGCGTTTCCGAAAATGAAACTCAAATTTAAGTGGCCTAGCTTATCCAAGCTTTTCAAAAAATGCGCAAAACTTTTCAAGGAGGAAATTAAAGAATGCGCGGGTCTGCAAAGCACTTATCACAGAGCAAAAGTTAGTAGGAAATCAAAACCTTGGGCTACCATATGTGAATTAATAATATATAAATATATTTTTCAAATTCTTAATAGTATATTCTTATATATTCTCACGAGCGGAAGGCGAGTTTGACGGTTTCACGAAAGCGGAATATGCAATTCCAAATGTGTAACACAGACTTTAATATCAGTTTTCAAAAAATACCATGGAAAAATAATTTAATTGGGAGAAAGTGAGGTTGGATCTGTCCAAGAGTTGTTAGATAATAAATACAGAGATTTCGCCACTACTGTTCATTCCATCCAGTGAAAGAATGAATTCATTCTGTAACACTTTATATATATAAATATATGGGGAATTCCACGTGAATTCGACACAAAAAAATCCCTTGCCATTTCGAAATTCCTCGGCAATTTTTCCATGGGTTCCCTGACTTAAAATAAAAAATGTAACTTTAATTTTAGCACGGTTTATCAATTGTTTTTGGAGATATGATTATAACGATTTTTCCAATATATCATCGATCATAACTTTGGTTCCAATTGAAATAAATATTTTTGATGCTGTGGCATATCGGCACATAGATTTTTTTCTTTGAAAACTAAAAATCCATTTTCTACAATGTTTGGTCATATTCCGTAATTGGGGTAAGATAATTTTTTCAAGCTGAATATGCTGTATTCCAAACATGTTACAGAATATACTATTCTGTAATACTTTAAGGAATATATGTTATTCCACATTAAAAAGTGATATTAGAACGGTCATATTTCGTAATACACAAATACAAAATACAATCATACACAGTATATTTTTTAATTCCCCCTAAAAAAGTGCCTTAATAATGTCTGAATTAAAAAAGGCTACCACCATCCGTTTATTAAATAAAAATTACAATTTTTTTAAGATGTCTTATAAACCAAAAATGATTTGTCAAATTTCTTTTTAGTTCATCGATCGGCATAATAATGCGCAACTTTTTCTAATTTAATCAACTATGATAAGGGAGATACCCATGCTTAGCCTCGAAATCGGACAACCTGTATACAGTAACTACAAAAAAATGCGTTTTCTTGTGCTATGATAAAGCTATGGACATTTTGTATCTTAATTCAACTAAGAAATGCAGTAAACTATCTCATAAGTTAAATAAATCAATTAAATATCTACTACTTTTTTTTAAAAATTTAGTTTATGTCAATTTTTCACAGATTTCTTGTTTAGCAGTTACTGCCTTTCTCCATAATTGTGCAGTATAGTTTATAAAATGCCTTTTTCTATTCCTTAAAGACATTTGGGTTTTTCTTTTATATAGGTAATGATACCTAATAATTATAACCGCCCCGCATAACAACGCGAATAATGAACTTATTATTCACGTTGTAAGGCATCAGTGATTGGCTGATTTCAATATGCACGGTGATTTAAACCAATCGGGTTTTAAATTAGGAAAAAGTGAGGTTGAAACTTTCTCAAATTTTTTTATATATACGAGGGGCGACTATAATGATCATCGGTCGGGAGAAAGTGAGGTTATAATACAATTTCTTACTAAATTACTTAATTGGAGGAGAAAAAGTATAGTATATACTCAAGATATCTTATGGGCATTATCTCTTGTATAATAATATACTATTATGACATTTGCTTTACATTCTTATCGTTTTATGATTTCAAAGTTTGTTTTTGGCATTAATAAAATGCGTAAGACAAAGACAGCGAGCGCCAAGTAGGCGTACTTACTTACGCCTTTTGGGATATTTATTGATCTACCATCCTACCTTTAGGTGGTCACTTTTGCAACTAAAGTCCCAACAAATAAAAACTGCCCTTGATTTTTAGCCAACTTAACGTGATCCCGCTAAGCGCCACCTCAAAAGAATGGATGTTGAGAATGGAGGAATTCGAAGAAATAATCCTTATCGCTACTTCGGAAAATCTTATTTGTTTGGGGATGGCGAACTACCTGATCAGAATTTGTTCGATCTACGGCGTCCAGAGGGCGGTGATTTCCATACCAGGCCCACTGGTCTCCATGTCTGCCTACAAGAACTTGCTGCTGGTTGCCTATCATACAGGAGGCGTACGCAAAGATGATCAGTGTGTTGGGTTTAAGCTTGTGAAATTTGAAGGTAGAGTGTGTTTTTAGCAAAACCATATTTTATTTTTTGTTTTTTAGGTACTTCTGTAGATAGTAGGGATATAGGGTCAGCTCTAGGTCCTGGTGCTACCTTGCAATGGTTGGGATTTTCTGATGTTGGTACTCCAGGGATGATGGATTCCCTAGGGATGCTCAGCATGTATCCACCAACTTGCAATATTTGGATTCCCTATTGTGATTCTACTAGACATGTAAGTATTTACTTTTAATTTGTTTAAGTTTATGAAATTTTTTATTTTGTAGTGTATGTTTTTATTAATTTTTCCACTGGTTTTGCTTTTGCAATTACGTGCAAACGACCCACTGTGAATGCACAATGTAGTTACCATGCGTTTTAATATATTATTTATTAGTTGATATAACACAATTATGTACTATAAAAAGTAATATAATACTAATTATTTATATTTTTTTTAGCGTAAAGCCCTTTCAGACGGATTTTTCGTGACAACAATTTTTGAATCGTACAAAGCGGTCGGAGGCATAAAATGCAAAGGCAGCATGTACCCAGGCTTTACCCCCAGACCAACAATGTGCGAACTACCCCTGGAACCACCTTACGCAGAACCAACCACCGATAAAACACAAATGGAAAGCCAACTGTTTGTTTACTCAACCCTGCAAATCGGCCAAGACAGCGACAAAAAATACAAGGAGACTGCTCTCAAGACATTCGCGGTAATATTTATTATAAAGATTATGTTTTACCTATATTCCATAGAGGGACAAGCGCAATATTAAAATCGCTAACCATTTTGGTATTGCGCATGTCCCTGATTCCCATTTGACAGTCCCCTTGCTTTTTGAACACACCTTGTACAATTTCTAATCTTAAATAAAAAATGTTTTTTTTAGTTGGCCTGCAAAAATAATTTAGATGAACGCGCTATGGAGTTCATGGAGATAATAAATAACCCCCAAATTCTTACTTTGGGCATAAAGTATGCCTCAAAATTAGAAAAACGTCGTTTGGTTGAAAAGTTAATGAGTCTTGCTCAGCAAATATCCAACGATGATGATATGCTAGATGTAGGGGTAAGTTTTTCTTAAAATTATAAAAAATAAATATAAAAACGTATTTTATAGTCCATTTCAACACCTGACACAAGTGCCATAAAACCTGCAGTTTATAGAAAACTTAAATTAAGCACTTCAAGGGTTACACCAAAAAGTAAAACATTGCCAAAAGCTGTCTCTACACCCACTCAAGCAACAGAAGATACTGTAACTTTAACTCATCATACAAAACAGTCAAAATTATTAATTTTTACAATTTTAGGATGTTTTAACACCAAATAATACAGCTAATACAACAACATCAATCATGGACACACAAGAGTCAGTGTTTACATCTGAAGAAGAACCAAAAAATCCATTCCTGAAAAGTCTGAAAAAAGATAAAAAACCACAAACCGAAAACCCTTTAAGTCTCACTGACAAATATGCAGGAGTTAACTATGAAAAAGAAAATAAGACAAAAAATACAGATGTAAGTAATACTAATTATTAGGGTCAGAATTCTTAAACTCTCATATCCTGTGCCAAAAATTTTGTTTCAAAATTTGATTTGTTAATGTTAAATGTTGAAGATTGTTTTTTATATTGCATTTATGAAATTATTTATTATTTGTGTCAGAATTTATGAAATTGCACACTTTTCAACTACTGAAGCAATTTTAACAAATTTTCAGTGGAATTTTCTGAGGCTAAAAGAAGAAATGTGCAGGCAAGCTCAAGCCAGCCTAGACACTTCTTGAACTTTACCGCCGTGGTTTACACTTTATTTTTATTCCTACAAAACGTAACTGCAAAAAAATACTGAAAATGTGAAGTGCAAATTTAGACATTTAATGTCTAAATTTGCACTTAAAGTTTTTAGTATTTATTTGAAGTTCCGTTAAGTTACGAAATAACGTGTAAACCACAGCGGTAAAGTTCAAGAAGTGTCCAAATTTTTACTAATATTAGATTTTATTAGGCCAATACAAAAAATACAGCTTTTTTTAACCAATAAGGTTAATACCAATCGTAAAAATTATATTTTTTTAACTTAAATTTAACATTATTGCGGCGCCTTCTATTGGAAGAAGTAAAAAATATTACGGCGTAGGCATTTGTAATTATTTTTGCAAGGCTAGCTAAAAATACGTAATTTCTTGCCCCTATGGAGGCGGTAAAATTCAACTTTACCATAGTGTAGAAAGAAAAATGTTTTCTTTTTGTATACGCTTTTGTGTTTCATATTGTCTCCATAACAACAGTACAAGTTGTACTGTACAACAAATGGCAATAGTACGATCTGCAAATATAATAATTTGAATTTTGACAAACAGAAAAAGTAGTATAAATAACTCATGTCATAAGGCATTTTCTCGCACTAGTCTATTACAAAACTCGCTCCTTATTCCCTCGTTTTGTAAATTTTCATTGAGCGAAAAAATTACGTTCTATAATATACTATTTTATTAAAAAATGTCAATTTATTGTTATTATAAACATTTAAATAATAAATGGGTAAAGGAGTTAAGTAACAATTTTAATAATAAAAGACAAAAATAAATTTAGTGTTACAATTACAATATATTTTGTTTAAAGGTGTCATCTTACATTTCAGTTAAAAAAGAACAAACAATATTGTTTGTTTTTTATTATTGAAAATGTTACATAGCCCCTTCACCCACTTGCCCCTTCAAGTATTAAAAAAACTAAAAAATCGCCATTTTCAATACATTACAATAATGAGTATACTACAGTAGATTGTAGCAGCACCAAAAGTGTCTTCAAAATTGCATCTCAATTGGTTGTTTACATTAAAATTGATTTCCTAGATTTGTGGACATAGTTACAGAGACTACATGTAGTCTCTGGTTAGTTGTTACAAGTGAAGCTATTAAAGCGTTTAAAAAACAATCTTCTGCAGCTTCTAAAAATTGCAAAACATTCTCAAATATTTATTAAATATCAACAAATTAAATTTTTAATATAATATTAATTTATTGTAGACTGGCGAAAAAAGGAAACTTTCTGATTCATCTGATTCTGAAAAACCACAAAAAGAAAAACAAAGAAAACTGGATATGTTTAAATTTACTTCTAATAGGTCCTAAGTAATATTTTAAAGTATGTTAAGTGCAAAACATGTTTTAGTTTTTTAATGTAAATTTTTACATATTTACTTGCTATATTTTATATTTATTTGTTATTTTAGTTTTTAATATAAGTTAAACTACAGCCTAACAACTACTTAAATCCTAAACATTAAATTTTTAATAGTGATGAAACAAGTTACTTTTGAAAATGTATTCTTAAAACTAATTTTATAACTATAAGAGTATTTAAAGAAAAACTATTTCCCTGAAAATATGAAACCTAAATGGGTAAGTTTATTTAAAAACTAAAATCTTTATTTATCTTTTCTTGGGTCATGAAAGATGCCTTTAGAAAACATATCTTCCCATTCTGACCCATTGGGATATTCATAAGCTTTAACAGCTTCTGGTTTTATTTCAGTGCTGTATCCAGGAACCTAAAAATTAATTATTGATTCTTTTCTAAACATTTTTATTTATATTTCATTACCCTTGGTGCTCTGTAGTGAGCATTTTCCACAATAGCTGGGTGCAAAAAGTGTTCATGCTGTTGGTCTACAAATTCAACCCATTTTCCCTCTGATGTACCAGATAAAGCCACATAGTCCCACATTTGTAAATGTTGAACCATCTCACACAACCCTACTCCTCCAGCATGGGGACAAACCTTAACTACAAAAAATAAATTTTAAAACAAAAAAATATAATTTTGTTATAAGAACTCAAAATGTTTTTAAGTTTTATTTTTTATATTATGTACCTAGTTCTTGGATTTGAACATTCCATAAAGCTATTTTGTCTTTTTAAAATTTAGTCTTCTCTTGTTTTTGACATTTTAATATTGTTTTGTTCATTTTTTTTGACATTTCTATAGGAAATCGTTCTAATTCAAAAGATTTTGTTACCTCCTAATTTTTTGGCCATTAAATAAACAGCAAGAATTTCGTTAATACCGCCTATTCTAGCCGAATCGATCTGGCAATACTGTAAAGCGTCAGCTTGCAGAAACTGCTTGAATAATACCCTGTTGCAACACATTTCTCCTGTGGCGACACCTATACCCAGAGGATTTAATGCTTTGGCTATCTGCGCATGCCCCAAAACGTCATCAGGCGAAGTGGGTTCTTCGATCCAAAGAGGTTTAAAAGGGGCCAAAAATTTCATCCAGTCTATGGCTTCTTGGACTTCCCATACCTGATTGGCGTCTACCATCTAAAAATGTGTTTTTTTAATTTCAACGTTTTTAACAGGGACTTGTAACATAACCTCATATATAAACGAAACTCCGTTTCTACTGTTATCGTTCCGAGTAACAGAAAGATTAAAAAAATATAAACGGAACGTTAAAATCGTTTTCAACGAGTAACAGAAGAGTAACGAAACTGGATAACAAAACCACCAAAACTCCAAACAGAACCGGTAATTAAAACAAAACGAAACCAGCAACGACACCTGAGTAACAAAATCTTAACCGAAACGAAACTGTAGTAACGTTTCCCGAACAGTAAAATTGTAATGAAACGACTATAAAAACAATGATTTATATTTTAATATTAATTTTACCAACTTACAGGAATATTTTAAAATAAATTAATATATGAAAGTAAATAAAACAGCGTAAGAGCTTAAAAAGGTAGCCCAATAATTCTGTAATAGTATATTTTGTATCAAGTTCACCAGACACTCGTTTTTTTTAAACACTCGCTCGCAATAATAAAACTCGTAAATAAAATTTACGTTTATAAAACGAGTTGCATACTATACGCTAAAGAAGTATGGGGTTTTCGCAACGCGCGCGCCACCTGCTGGACTTGTGAATTTAAGAATTGTCAACAATACATTTAAAGCACAGATTATACATCCACAAAAGAAAGGAAGGCAGAAGTCTTACTCGACAATTTTGTTCAATTGCACAGCTAAATCGCGCACCTTATTTTTGTTTTATGTTGCAAGGAAAAAATTAAAAAACTTTTTTAGTACTCGATTTCGATTGATTATTCCTTATATCATTGATTAAGAAACTAAACGCTTAAATGCTTATATAGTTACGTTGGTGTGTGTATTTTATCTAAGGGATCATGGTGAATTATTGTGTTTTTAAATGTAAATAAAATTCAAGAACTAAATCGTTGCATTTTCATGTTTTGCCAAAGGATCCAATTCGGTAAGTACATTTGTTGGTGCAGAATAAACTAATGATAACTTTACCTAATATAATTTTTATTTAGGTTTGGACATTTTTAAGAAATTAGCAATTTTTGCAACATAATATTATATATAATACATAATAAATTTACCGTTGAGTGGAGACTTTCTTAATTAACGCTTTTAATAATGCTAAATGCTGTTTAAATTTAGACGACTTATTTGTTTGACGATTTTTACTTTATATTTAAAGAGACTATGCAATTTATTTCTTTATTCAAATAAACGTATACTACGACAAACAGAAATTAAAATTTAGTCAACTTTAATTTGTTAATTTTTGACATCTGACGAATTTAACTTCAATTTAAAGTCAAATTTAATTATTAAATAATTGACATCTGACGAATTTAACTTAACACTTTTTCGTGTTCCGTGACTAAAATGCCCAAAAGCCACTGTTTAACAGTGAATATTGTTAACTACACAGATAATTTAACCAATATGATTTTTTTTACAATGTCAATATACTTGAAAGCCTGCCATGTTCTGTGGCATTAGAGCTGCTAGACAGATCACGAGGATTTTTTCCAAGATATTGTATTGTTAAAAATTTCGTGAAAAATTTAAAGTTTTGTTACAGTTTCGTTACTCTGTTACTAGTTTCGTTTTAATATCCTGTACTATATATCCTGTCGTTTTAATATCCTGTACTACAGAAACACGTGTTTCTGCAGTACTTGCGCTACTGTGATTTTCGTTATGAACAGTTTCGATAGCAATTTTGTTTTTGCTGAAACCGTTACCAAGATTTTGTTACTCGTTTTTTTGAAGATTTTAGGCAATTTTTATTAAAAAGACAATATATTTACCAACGTTTTGTCCCATCCAATGATGTTTCTTACGAGTTGAAGACGTTTTATATCTTCCTTTAAATTTCTTCCTACTTTAAGTTTAAACGCATTAAATCCCAGATCTAAGTATTTTTGGGCCAACATCTTAATTTTTTCATCTGAATATCCTAGCCAGCCTATAACATTTTTTATTATTTCTAAATCCAAATTTGCCATCAAAAATCATTTTTAAATTAATATTTAAACATTCAATTAACTTAAGTTATATTGCTTTAAAATGCAATTCAAACTTTTCTACCAAAATGTTTTAATTTATAAATTATATATTTCAAATTTTGAAAGAACACATTTTCAGATGATCCAAGTTAATTAAGAATTTTTTTAAATATTGAATATAAAATATAATGATAAATAAAACCTAAAACTGCAAATAACACCTTGTTATTCAGATTTAGAAATTATTTAAAATGTGCTAGATTCTTTTAAGTATCTGAAATAATGTATTTACCTGCTTGCGTAGTATAACAGGGGTACCCTTTTTCCAACAAAATATTCATTCGTTGCTCCTTTCCAAATTTGCCTTGTGTCAAAAGATGTAAAGCTTCATCTTTAGTGATAACATTCGACAAATATCTAAAATCAATGCATGAAACAATTTGTTCAGGCTCTAAATCGGCAAGTAATTGCCAGACGGGTTTTTTCAAAAGTTTGGCCCACAAATCCCAGAGGGCGTTAATGATTGCAGCTGTTGCCAAGTGAGTCACACCTTTTTCTGGACCAATCTATTAAAAAAAATTATTACAATTTATTTTATTTACTATATTTAAATTTTTTTTACCCATCTTAGCTGACTTTCGCTGGTTATTGATCTCCAAAATGACGCAAAATCTTTGTAGATGTCGCTGACGACTTGTCCAACAACCAGGGGTTTTAATGAGTTTATAGCCTGGACTACAATGTCAGTGCCTCTACCAAGGGTAAAGGTTAGACCGTATCCTTCTAAACCAGTTGCTATTTTTATGGTGACGTATGCGCATGAGTAGTCAGGATCTGTGTGCTAAAATATATTGTGTTTGTAAAATATACACAATTGTATATTTAAATATCCTAAATAGAAGATTAAAAAAATAATAAATATTATCGAAATAAATGGCAATAATTTATTTAAAATATAAAAAAATTATTTGAACACGTAAAATACAGGTGTATGCATTGAAAAAGCGCACAAGAATTAAAATGAGAGAAAACTGTCACCATAATATTATTGCTTAAAACCGCCTTATCACCCAAGTCATTAAAATGATTATTAGGTTATATATTTTCTTTACTTTCTTCTTGAAAATAGATTAATTAAAGATTGGTCTTTCAATATCTGAAGTCGGAAATTTAAAATGGAAATACAAACTTAAACAGGGACTGAAATTCTTTCTTTACCTGATGTACAATTTTTTGTGTATATTTTATGTCTCGTAAAATATTATAATGTGCATCATTTTACAAATTTTAATGGTTGTATGTAAATTAAATATGCGTTAAGTACTTAATAAACATTAAAAATAAAAATTATAATTATTATGTCAAAAATACCTATATTTACTGGATTTACTCGATATACCTATAGTTGGGTCTTCTTTTAGTTATTTACAATACGCCTTTAAATTTTATTTAATTAATCCCCGACGTTAATGCTCTGCATTTTTAATAACCCATAATAATTGAAGGGGTATACCCCTATATATAAGAAGCAAAAGGGTACAAGTGCATTTTAGCATGAAAATAAGTTAAGTGCAGAATTGGGTAGTTAGGAGTCAAATTTTTTTAAAAATTTTCTCATAACGTGAAAATTTTTCTGCATGTTAATTGCTGCAAACAATATTGAAACAAGTATTCAGATTTTTGTATATAGCAAAAACATTAAAAGTTAATACATAATACTACACTTCTTTTTTGCACTAGTACCCTAGGGTACAAGCTTGTCTCTGCTTGTACCCTTTTGTTTCTTACCCCTTCAACTATTATAATTACTTAAGTCAGTGATAAGACGGGTTTAAGCAATAATATTATTAATATTTTCTCTCATTCTAATTCTTGAACGCCTTTTTATGAATCAACATTTTCTGTGCATTTTTTTAATTTAAAAATGAGTTTTTAAATTACAAAATTTTGGTACTCCCATGGGAGTATAGATACCTACTAACCACTTTTTCAAAAATAATAATTTTAAATACTATTAATGGAAACAAATGCAAATTTTATTTACTTACTTATTATAAAATGTTAGTCCCAATAAGCTAATAAACTTATTATAGTTTATAGAAATGTTGATAAAACAATATTATATCAGTTATCACGCGGTAGATAGTTTATTTAGTACAATATTTACCGTTATAATTAATGTTTTAACAAAATAAATATATGCAACTAAATTTTAATAATATTTACTTCAAACATCAAGGTGCTAATTTATTAAATCATTTAAAACTGATGCGTCCTTATTATCTAAATTTAAAATACAAAAAAAATTTGTTTACTTACCATGGCATCTGACCCATCTGATTGCAAGGAGGTGGGAAACCTTAGATCCTTAACATCCAAGGAAATAATTTTCAAATTTTCTACTGTTGACATTTTGAAATATTTTCCTTCCGACTTGTACAGCCGTCAAAGATTCTCTATGCACTTTTTATCTACTAAAGTTTTATCTCAGAGGCGTGAAATATTGGTCACAAGACTTTACATATACTTAACAGGTTGAAATTTACTCAATAGCGTATGCGCTTGCTAATCTAATAATATTTAATCTGTTCTTTTTACTTTTGCAAAATGGTTATCTTGGTCCAAACTTATTGACCTGCGGCTAGCTGTTTTTATTTATATATTTTATTTTGAATTGATAATTGTTGTTGTTGATACCTAATGTTTTGATATCAATCAATGTTTTTGATAAAGAAGTGCCCTTGCTTAGTAACAAATTTTTATTTTTATCTTTGAAATAATGTATTTATATATTTACATAAATACATATATGTACACCCATTTTTTACTTAAAATGGCATACAAAAAATTGTATTTGATAGCTATAGTTGTTTTTCATACGAAATTATTTTATTTTGTATCGCACGAGCTCATTATTTTTAATTATATTTTGTAAAATGGATATGTTAGTTAGTTCGATTATTTTAAATTGGTTTTAAAATTAAAGATATTTATTTTTTGGAACTGATTCCGGGATTAGTTACTCTTCGTCCTAAAAGTCTCGGGATTAAAAAAATGGCTCGGAATCGACACCCCTAGTAGACACCCTGTGTATATGTATATTATAATATATATATATATATATATATATATATATATATATAATAGGGTGATTTTTTTTTCACGACAATTTTTATTTTTTCGCTCCCAACTCAAAATCTTGTTGAAAATGTTCAAAAAAAAATTCCCTGAAAATTTGAGCCCTTAATATTAACTCAAAGTACTCGACCAAAGCGTATAAAGATTTCTCATTTAAAATTTACGTAAACTTTGATTATTTTTTTTTAAATATCTATATCTCAGCCGCATTTTATGCTATTGGATTGTTTCAAAAAAGGATTTACTCGTAATCAAAAGTTCTACAAAAATGCTTTATGTGCCATAGCTGTAATCTACACATGTAGGATGGTACGGGTCACTGAATCCTATTTTAGTGAAAAATTATCATATTTTTTAAGATATTTCAAAAGTGACTGGATTCTTTGAAAAAATGTAAAGAACAAACTTGTAGAAAATTTAATTTTTTTTAAAAAAGGTCCTATCAGTTGAATCGCTAAGATTGATATTTCTTGAGATATAAAGCGTTTACATTGACAATTTATGAAATTTTTAGGATTTTCGTATCAAACTTTGTATAAATGAAGATTTTCAATTGTTTATCAGTAAAATTTCATGTAATTACGTTTTTTCTACAGTCGGGTGATTAGAGAAAAATAAATAACTCAAACAATCTAGCATAATTATTAATAACATAACTTTAAAGAAAAAAGATATATCTAACCTAAAAATTGATATATATATATATATATATATATATATATATATATATATATATATATATATATATATATATATATATATATATATATATATATATATATATATATATATATATATATATATATATATATATATATATATATATATATATATATTGTATTACATACAACATGTTATTTTATTAATAATTATGCTTGATTGTTTGAGTTATTTATTTTTCTCTAATCACCCGACTGTAGAAAAAAAGGAATTACATGAAATTTTACTGATAAACAATTGAAATTCATCATTTATACAAAGTTTGATACGAAAACCCTAAAAATTTCATAAATTGTTAATGTAAACGCTTTATATCTCAAGAAATATCAATCTTAGCAATTCAACTGATAGGACCTTTTTTAAAAAAAAATAAATTTTCCACAAGTTTGTTCTTTACATTTTTTCAAAGAATCCAGTCACTTTTGAAATATCTTCAAAAATATGATAATTTTTCACTAAAATAGGATTTAGTGACCCGTACCATCCTACATGTGCAGATTACAGCTATGGCACATAAAGCATTTTTGTAGAACTTTTGATTACGAGTAAATCCTTTTTTGAAACAATCCAATAGCATAAAATGCGGCTGAGATATAGATATTTAAAAAAAAATAATTATTATAATTATTATAATCAAAGTTTACGTGTATTTTAAATGGGAAATATTTATACGCTTTGGTCGAGTACTTTGAGTTAATATTGAGGGCTAAAATTTTCAGGGAATTTTTTTTTGAACATTTTCAACAAGATTTTGAGTTGGGAGCGAAAAAATAAAAATTGTCGTGAAAAACAAATCACCCTAATATATAATATTAATCAATCGAAAGTTATAATAATTATTAGTTATAATTATTGGCTACTTGTATTTACACTTATAATTTTTTAAAAATATATTACCTTATAAGTCTATAGACTTCGATGCCAATAACAAAAAACCTTATCATTAAGCTAATAAAGTCAAATGATAAATATTTGTTTAAACTTAGCCCAGTTAATCAACGGTTTTATGGTAAATTTAATTTTTTTAACGTTGTTCTTTAATATTAAAATTATTGGTTTTATTACAATAATTTCACATCGTCTTTTATTTCTAAAGATATTTAGGTATTAAATTTGTTAATTTTTAGAGGGAAAAATTAAAAAATTAAACGTTTCACTTGTATTAATTTGTTTAATTCGACACATGGACATACTTCTAGTATGTGACAGAAGTTTTGTCACAGAATATTGCATTTATTGAATTAAGTAAATTTAAACAATTGAAACATTTAAATTTTTCATGTGGTTCCTCTAAAAATTAACACATTACCCCATATTATGTGTGTTCTGTAGTTCGCGTAACAATTTTTAGTTCAAAATTGTACCTACATAATTTTACCTTTATAGAATTCATAAAATAATAATTGACTTATTCGTTTAAGAATATATTCTTATATACTATAGTATATTCTGTAACAAGTTTGGAATACAGCATATTCCGCTCGAGTGAAGAGTTTGTCACACCCCTTGCGGCCTTGATTTCACGGTTTATTCACCGTGAATAAACCGTCTGTTTGTGACATTTGTAAACGGTAGTTAGACGGTGAATTCACGCACTTTTCACAGTATTTTAATTGTGAATCCACCGTATTTTGGCGGTATATTCACGGTGAATTCACAGTGAATTCACGGTGAATAAACCGTGAACTCAAGGCCGCAAGGGTAGGTATATCCTATAGGTTTAACACAATCGACTATAGCTAGCCATTATTCGTTACTGAGCTATGCCATTACAGACGCACACTTCCAACTAAAAATTGCAACCCAACGCTATTTATAGTTAGCTCGCTTGCGTAAGCAGCCGTGAGATGTATTGCTTAAACCGCTTAACACAGAAATCGACTAATAAAAAAAACCGCTAATAAATGGCGTCCAACTTGTTTTTTTTTATGATGGCGTCTCAATTGAGACTTAAGTTGAGACTCTCAACCTGCGGTGTTTTCACAGGCAATTTACGGTGTTTTCACAGTAAACTCACAGCGCTTTTACGGTGAATTCACGGTGATTTCACGATAAATTTACGGTACTTTCACAGTGAACTTGAGTTCACCGTGAATTTACCGTAAAATCACCGTGAATTAACCGTGAAATCACCGTGAATTTATCGCAAAAACAGCGTGAGTTCACCGTTTAATTACCGTCTACAAATGTCACAAATGGACGGTATATTCACTGCACATAAACGGTGTAATCACGGTGAATTCACGCAAACGGTGAATTCACCGTAAACTCAAGGCCGCAAGGGACGAGCCGAAGGCGAGTTGGCGGTTTCACGAGAGAGGAATATGCAATTCCAAATGTGTTTCACACTATACTTTTTCTACGTTTCAAAAAAAATACCATAGAAAAATAATTTAACTGGAAGAAAGTGAGGTTGGATCGGTCTAAAATTTGTTAGATATTAAAAACAGAGATGTCGCCACGAGTGTTTATTCTAGAAGCTGTCATCCGATGATAGAATATTTCATTCTGTAACACTTTACGGAATATATGTCATTCCATAGATAAAAGTGATATTAGAACGGTCAAATTCCGTAATAGGAGTATAAAAAATCTTATATTCAAATTTTTAGAATATATAAGGATTAGTTTAAAACATCTTGCCCCGTAATATAATATTCTCAAATTTAATGGACAGCAAAAAGTGGTGGATGATGTTATATTTAAAAGGCGTCAAGTTTCTCAATTCCAATGCTTATTTTTTTAAAACATTGTACCACTTCAAAAAGCCATTCTTTAAAAACCTAAAAAATAATATTTTAAATGTGGTTTAAACTTTAAGGAGAAAATATATACCTAAGGCATACAATTTTTATTAATAAAACAAAATCAAATTGATTTTGAAAAAGAATATTTTGGGGATTGTTTTCAATTTGCACTGGCAGTAAAAAGTACAAAAGCTCATCATACATGAATTAATTAAATTTAATCCTCGTAAAAATATTTCAAATGACATGTTAAAGGGTTTTATTTCCCGGGGGAAAACTTTCCTTTTTAAGCTTGGCGTCACTTACCTTGCTGACTTTCTAATAAAATCGCGCCAACTTCAATGGGTTTAAAGTGGTTGAAGTTCCACTATGTGCGAGGGTAGCTTTTAGGGTCCATGGAGATAAAATTCCAGGGTTCCGGGGAATTTATGAATAAATTGAGTGGTTCGGTTAATACATATATTAAAATAATCCCTCGTATGTACAAAACAATAAATAAAATGGAATAAGACTTTACAAAGAATAATACGAAAATAAAAATGGAGTTTCTGAAATAAACAAACAAACAGAAAATCTCTCCCTCCTATGGCGGGCTGCGCGATTCTCCAGCATGATGTCAGGATCGACCAATCACGGCTTTGTGGCAAATCTTTTGGTATGACGGTGCTCTCGGTCTCGAGCTCCGCATAAAAAACGCTAAAAGGAATTTCGCAGAAGGGCCCAAGTAAACAATCTTGCTACTTTTTGCTGTGCGCTTTAACTATCATACGGGTCATTCCGGTGGTAGCGCTACATATGGGCTATTCCGGGGTTGTTTATGACTTACGTGAATTAAATCATTTAAATTGGGATTCTGTAGCACAGGGTAGGGGTAGGGAAAAAGTAACTTCGTTACATCCCCCCCTTACTTCGGAAAAAAAAGAAATTTCATTTCTTTTTCTTTTGACCTGACGTC